GGTTAAATATACGACTACGTGATAATCTTCTAACGATCAATCTACATACACCTGAGATTTTTATTTACTCATTTGCTTATTTTGTTTTTACGGCGACACCAGGGTATAGCGGAACGCGGTTAGGGATCGTCAATTAACGGTCATGGCTGAGACGCAATATCAGGACCAGACATTTCGACAGCCGAGATGTCATTCCTGGTGGTAAATAATTTCTGCAGTTTACGCTGTATCGCTGACGCATCTTTTTGATGGAAAATACCAACGCGTAGCCAACTTAATAACAACACACGTCCGTGTGAATACCTTATCTGGAATTTTCAATCCGTGAAACGGCTACGTAATTCTCTGCTTAAAGGTCATATTCATCTAATTAAATCTACGTATGTTTGCTTTAATCGTACATATCAAAATGTAAACACTTCCTCTTCGTTTCTTCCAGTAAAGAAATAATCTCATTTTTATAGGGCATTAATGTTGACGGGTGTGAATGGAATATATATTATTGGTAATGTGGAGTAAATATTAAAAGTAAAGTGAAATGGGGAAAACGGAATTGTTTGTGTACGGATGTTGATATATATGATATATATATATATATATATATATATATATATATATATATATATATAGATTATATACTTACGAAACTTAACTTCACCTCTGTGAATGTATTGTCAGTTGATAAGGTATAAAATGAATTGCCAAAAATCTATTACCATGTCAATTTTATGTTCAGTCCCCACCCCTTTCGAAACACACAGTTTTCTGGATGAATCCAATCAAACAACTAGGATTGTGCCTATCAGGGCTCCAAGAATGCGACTTTTTCCATTTACAATATCAAGCATGGAAGTGCATGAGCTTTTTTTGGAGGGAATAATGTATGAGATTTCGCCTCAGATAACATAGGTGTACAAAATGAAACTCGTAGTCACCACAAATGTAATCATATTTTCGTAACCAGTTTTTTTGTACATATTATGGCTTTGCATTTAGATTCATCACTCACCACTTTTCTAAAACATTGAAATCATTTTGTAATGATTATAATCATACTTTTTTAATTCTGTAGGAACTTTGGTCATGATGCATTCCACTGGGCAGTATCCGTTAATATGGATACTTAGGCAAATGAGTTCTTAAGACATGAGGTCACCGGCTAGCAGCCCCCAGCTCCAAGACCCTTAAGGTGACGGACGACATGGCCTGAGCTGAGGCATGAGCACAGAGAGGCGGTTCGACGCCCTGTGGCCACGTCATGTTTGGGGAAGGGAGGCCACGTGCCACCCAAGTAGAGGCGTGAGATGAACAAAGCCCTGAGTACTATAAAATACGCCCACAGACACTGCCCGGAGGACTGTCTGAGCTACCGCTTACTTGGACGGAGGTCTCCACGACATGAACTTTGATGTAACTTGATGTAATTCATTTCTAGGAAGTAAAGGACTCTTGCTTCGACATTTGCTAGAACATATTCTGTCTTTCGTTTTCATTTGTGCTGATCAATCATCCTGCAGTCTTCTGAAAGGACTTAGCTCCCAAGGACAAATAAATCTAAATAATTTGTGTTATGCTTTTGCTTTATTGTTTTAACTGTGACGCCCTGCCTGCCTACAAGTATATCATTGCGGGTGCGAGCGGGGCCTAATAAGCAGCAATTCAAGTATTACAATTTATTTCACAAAAAATATGCTATATTCCATTTTCTGATAAAATAGTGTTGGTAAAGCTTACTCAAAAATGTGAACCCACACGACTCTTTTAGACTGCTTCAGAATCTTCTATCGTGGAATCATTCCAGAAACCTTGGTAGCGATGCTCCTTTGTTCTGATGTCTTGGTGGAAACGCTCACCTTGTTCATCACTAACGACATCGAGGTTATCGGGGAAGAAATCTAAATGGGAGTGTCGAATGTGTAGCTTAAGTGACATTCTACAGCCCAGTTTATGAAATGAACACAAAAGCCAGTAGTTTTCATTAACATTCTGTACATTTGTTTTTCACGAGAAAATGTTCACACATCCAAAACTAGTCCAGGCATCATTTGGTACTTGGCTGTCCGGGACGAGCAGCGTTACAGATAGTGGAGCTGACGTTTCGATGTTGTGGCCTTCTTCTGAGCTATACTGCTCCAAGGCCAGGCATCTTGTTCTGCAGTCACCGTTTGTGTGAATGTATCATTATCTTTTAAAATCTCTTGGATTTGGGAAGATTACTTCCTTCATTTATGCTGTGATGATTTTTGGAAGTTGTTCACAGACGTACTGGAATGCTCCACAGTTTGCCTTGCCCATTGTCACCCATTAATTCAAGCTCTATATGAAGCGAAGGGGAAGAAATATCATCATGGAATCAACGAGAGGAGCATTGAGAACTGTGTTGTCAGGCTCATTTGAAACACTTCTGTTTTTGTCTCTCCATCAGTCTTGAAATACTCTAGTCAAAAACAAAAACAAAAAAACTCATTTCATTGCCAGCAACAGCGGTTTCTGAAGGAACGCTAGGGATTAAATCTCTATTAGGGATTCGGACAGTCACAACATGAGAACTACCCTATCTCAGAAACTATTTGTGTTAGAGAACATCTACGCATGTATTTGGAGTCGGGGCATGTCACTTAGTAAATCTCACATATTTTCTTTTTTAATAATTTATCGTTGTTAACTAGGGAAGTTCTTTTTGGGGGGATAATTTGTACATTCGCAATATTAAAACCATCTTATTATAAAGATTATACGTGCTAGGGAAATTGTAAGTACATATTTGGTATCAGGGCTTGATATGTAGTAGTAAATCACATACAGTTTTATTTCTTGGTTGCAGACTAAGCACATGGCTATTCATATGGCCCCATTCATATTTTACACAATATTTTATATCCTTACGGATGTATGTGAAAATAATTTTAACCATTTTTAATAACTGTACAAAAAATTAATACAATTTCTTCACATTTTGATTCAAATATTATGTTTAAAAAATGAAAGGCAAAATTGAAGGCGAAACATAAGTTTAAATAAGCATTTGTATTTATTTTTCTAATAAATTTTCAAACTGCTAAGATCCATTTATTATAATAAAATTTATTTCTTATTTCAATATTTCAAATTTATTAGGAGACCCCATTGGTGTGTCATTTTTAGGACCTTTTAAGATAATAATCCGGTCCTGTACTGATGCGCTACCTTATTGGCAATGGGACCGCGAGCAGGACTGTGTGGTAGATTCGCGATCCTCCATACGTAGCTAAAATGAATAATCCGATGGTGGCCGGAGAGAACTAGCAATGACGTATGTGAATGTTTGTTTGTTTGTTTTGTTTTTTTTATCAGAACCCGCCAAGAAATTGACGTTGTTGACGTTAGTTATTGATTATTTCTAATGCCAAGATTCGCAAACACTTGCAAAAATGTTGCACCTGTTTGCATAACCTGTTACGTGTAATTATATTCAAAATTTATGAGATAAAATATACTGAAAGTGGAACGAAATAGGATTTTTTATTGATAAATATATCTAATTTAGAGCCATGCTTTTATATTTGAATGTTCAGAATTGAATTCTTCTCATAACTGAAATGTATGTTGAATTGACAGGAACTCAAATGCCATAATATAAAGATTTTTTAAAAATGTGTTGTATTCTTGAGGTGTGCATTTTTTCAGATATAAGCCTGTATGATGAAATAGAACGTTCAGAATGGAAAGTTTCATCATAGTGGTCGTTAACGTAAATGAAGTACCTCTTAAAAAGATGCGCGTCATTATTTCAGGATTGATTTTTTCCGAAACTTTGTTTTGTAAATGAATTGAATAATTACCTTTTGGACACAATGTAAATTAATTTCCTTTTATCTGTGTTGGAATTTTGGAATCTGTCCTTTCCACCTTACATCGGCATTTTTAACTACCGACAGGGAACAAGTGGCGCGTAAACGCCGGTACGATTTCTCAACTGCTTTACGTAGAAACGCTAGCGTGTTATATACTGAACTCGGTTATGAGGCAATTTGCGCTCAAATATATTATGAAGCTGCATATCACCATATGGCACTACTACAAATTAACAGCACTGCAACTTTCGAAATCTTATGGAAGGAGAAATTAATTTTAAAAAAAATGAATAAACTTGCTGCTATATATTAGTTGGAAACATTTTAAAATATCGATCAGCACATTTTACTTTCTCGCGCTTACTTTGTAAGTAAAGAAAGTATTGTAATAGTACGCCAGAAGCGGAAAATTTTCGACAGAAAAGCCCTTATTACCGGGCCCTAGTAACTAACTAATGGTGCTACATCACATTCTTTTCTCGCATTATTTGTAACTGCTCCTCAATATTATAATACTACATGAACCTGCAAAAGTGTTTTCAACTAGCTAACAGAATTTTTACGCACCGGAACTCGAAATCAGGCCCTCCGAGTAAACTCGCTCTGCCCCTTACATGTACTCTAATCCAGTCACTCTGATCTGCCAACTCGGGCGGGTCTCCTGAAAATGCATACTGCGATTTATGCAAGTCTGCTCATTGCAGGTGTCAGCTGTTGACGGTTTCATCCAATCGGGAGCTTGAACGTCACTATGTGATGTCATAGGTGATCAGCTGAAACGCGGTTATCCAATCGGGAACTACAGTTTCAAAAATTGAAGCTCTGAGTTGGATAGTAGCGTCCAAACTAATCACCTGCAAAGTATACTATTATTTTAATTGGAGAATAGTTTAATTTTCTGCGGCTTAAATCTTCAATCTGAAGTAGTATCTACTTAATTTTTAATTGATTGACAAACGAAAATATTAAGTCATCTGCGATTTATGTAATCATTTTAGGAAACTGCATTACCATTTTAATTAATATTCAGTATTTTATTAATTTCTAATATATATTTAGTTCTTTACTTTTTAGAAGTATCTATTAATCATATTATTAGTTGTCGTTACCATCTTGATTCAATAAAAAAAGTTATATTATTACAATAACGCATGTTTCTCTTTTCAGGCGTATGAATTCGCCAAGGAAATGGGGTGTCATAATCATTTCCTTACAAGACTTAATGTATTCCAGAATGGGTCCTTGCTCGAATGGTAAGTTTCTAATACTGTTATAAGAGTATTATAATATCGCATATTCAATGAATGATTTTTCATTCATTAATAGGAACTTCAAAAATCGCTTTAAATTCAAATCCATGAACCTACAAAATGTCCCTTCTTACTGGATATTAAATGTAGCCTCAATTCCTTCCTGCTTATTCTCGCTCTCCATTCCAATTAACACGTGCTGTTCATTAAATAAAATATTTTCCGTTTTGTTCAATATTCATAGTATTCTAAGAGAAATCTGTAATTCAAATACACAGAAAAGTCTCTACAGAACCGAATAAATATCCACCAGTAAAAAATATTATCTGCATTTCATATCGAATAAGACGTGGACCTTCGATTTCTACGTGGTAAGAGCGAATGTTAATTAGGGATGGTAGGTAAGAGATTATGATGTAATTTTCTGAAGTAACCGAGGTTGGACATAATTTAGGGATACTAAACACGAGTAATGGCCCTAAACAGGAATTAAACCGTTGTATTATGCACCTTGCTGCTGGCACCGACCTCCCATGCTACAGCGATAGGGTTATTCACGGTGCTAACAGTTCGGAAATGTTTGTTTTCGGTGATCCCAATTACCATTGGAACCTTGTGTAAAACAATAAATAAATACCGGTATTGGGGAGAGGGGGTAGCGGGGTGCCGGAAATTTGCTCGATGTGTGTTTCGATGTGCATCACTGAGTTTGTAGCGCTTGTAATTACGTCTTGAAATAAGGTCATGTACAATTTTTTGCATGTACAACACAGTTTTCGTGTTATTTTTGGGAGTCCGAAGGGGGTACATTTTGTACCCCACGCTATTATTTTTGCTAAAGCTTGTGTCAATTTTTACGGGCCGATGTTTCCTCTACGAGAATTATTTACAATTTTGCATCGAATAAACGCCATTTAGAGATTTTTCTACAATTTCTTGGGTTTAAAATAGGCATTTTTGCACTTTAAGTCCGAAATGTACCCCCTTAGGACTGCGTGTTACAAGCAGCCGTTTATTTTTATTTATTTTATGCTGTAAATACTCCAAAAAGATAGTGTCATATCAACATCAGAAATGCTAGCTGTACTAAAAGATCAATAATCATTACTAATTGTATTTATGATGGTTTCAGGCGTATTGATTTTGGTTATCGTCATTTTCTCTTGCACTTATGCACTGTTTGTAACTTGTATGTTTAAAATAAATACTGGTGGAAAATAAATTTGTAATGTATTAATTGATACTCAGAGATCAGGGCAAGAGGTTAGTTGAAGTCAAATGATTTTCAAATAAAAATAACTTTTAAAAAACTTTAGGGGGACAAAAGGTCCCCCCTTCGAACTCCGAAGGTATAATTTGGCTCCGGACTCCGAGGATTAAGTGAATAGAATTCATTTTAAAACTCGCAAAAAAGGCTCCGAATTGTTCAATTTTTTTCCTTGTTTAGAGCATTGGTCGCAGAAATAGCGCAGTTCTCATTTTCTTTTAACTCTTGAGTTTTCGAAAATTGCAAATGTTAGAAGCAGTGTAAGAACGTATGTTATATCATGTATGTTATATCATCAACCTCATTTGGCCACTCTCTTGTGTTGTCTCAGAGAAAGGATACGGTACGTTTTACTTATTTCAATAAGCAAAACACACTTTTATGGAAAATGTGAATTACGATTCTATATTTTACAACAAATATCTTGAGGTACTTGATATTATAAAATGCATTTCATTTTCTTATTGAAATTGTGAATCGGTACCATCCGTATTGTAAATATCTGTACTCAAAGTGCAATTAAATCGGTCATACCGATACTTCCTTTAGGTGTTGGTATTAATACCAAAAAGTTTATTCATCCAAGAATCACAATATTCCTTAGGTAAACTGACCAGAAAAGATATGCGTGATGAATATGAAGTTTTTACTTTAGAAACATCGCTCAATGGAATTGAATACAGTCTTCTATTGATTGGCAGGAAGGGATTTACGCGTTTCAATTCTTTCCTCCACAGTTTCACCTAGCGTTTCCCAGTGGTTGGACTGTTGCAATTCGCTCATGAATATTATTTGTGGAGTTCGTTTCAGTACTTTGATTGCCACGATGTAAAGAAGTTAGAAATTCAGTTACGACTGATGGCTTCATTTAAGTGTTTATTATTGTAATTATTTCCTAAATACACGACTAAAGATGTTAGATTAAGTTAAATATAAAACCTACTCCAGGTTACAATCGGCTTCCTAAGAAGCAGATCTATTAAGTGAGAAAGTCTCTATATTTCTTTTCCCAAAATAGGGGTTGTTTCGAATAAGACTATGTAA